TGCAAGCATGTTAGGCCGTCAACAAACACCAATGGAAACAGAAGCAGAAAGTGTACCTGCTTTACTTAAGCTGCTCAGGATTCTAGTTTATTTTCTCAGGAAACTCCTATGGAGGGTATTATCTGTGGGAGCCATTCCCAAACACATAGCTTTCATTGTGGATGGGAACAGAACATATGCCAAGAAGAAAAACCTGGACGATGAAGCCAGCTATAGGGCTGCATTTACGGCTCTCCTCTTCATTTGCAAATATTGTTCAGAGCTGGGAGTGAAGCATCTCACCTTTTTTGCCTTCAGCATCGATAATTTCAGACGAACACCCCAGCAGATTAAGTGTGTGATGGATCTATTGTTAGAGAAGACTCAGCTCTTGCTCAAGGAAGAAAATCTTGTGAAGAAGTACGGAGTTCGAGTAATCTTTGTTGGCAATTTGCAACTTTTGAATGAACCTCTTAGGCTTGCGGCCGAAAAGGCAATGGCGGCTACGGCCGGAAACAGCAAGATCATAATTTCAGTCTGTGTGGCATACAAATCAAGCAATGAAATTGTTTGTGCCATTCAGAAGTCCTGTAAACATCAACTTAACGCTGAATCTTGTGCACTTAAGATGCCAAAAATGAGGCCTTCTAAGTCTATCAAGCTAGTACATCTGCAAAAATACTTGTCCATGAGCGTAGTTCCTAATCCCAACATCCTAATAAGGACCTCAGGCGAAACACGTCTCAGCGATTTCCTCCTGTGGCAGACCACCAACTGCCTCTTGTATTCTCCCGCTGCCCTGTGGCCAGAGATTGGGTTGCGGCACTTGGTGTGGGCAATATTAAACTATCAACGGCTGTATCCTTATTTAGAGAGGAAGAAGGACCAAGTATAACTCTCCTAACACCACAGAACAGGTATAACTCGAATCTAATGTTAATGAGAACATGACAGCCAGAAGTGGTCCATCACCTTGTTGCATTCCAAGCCGTTTTAGATTCAATTCTAGCTTATGGGGTATTGTAGTTAGTAGAAAACAAAAATCAAGTTTATAACTCGAATCTTATGTTAATGAAATATGATGATAAGAAGTCTCAAAATCACAATTATCTCACAGGGAAGAAAACTTATAAATCTTCAAAAACAAGTGAAGCAAGATATGTTTTTGGAACTAGCTCAGCCCTCTGATACCAATCCAATTACAGACACACATGATTTTGAGTTGATTTTTTCAGGATACAATCTCCAGAGGGAGATCCTCTCAAACATGGATCCCATTTGTGGTTGCAAACAAACTTAGACCGTTCCAAGCAGCGATACTGTTTGAAAAATAAAACAGACCAGTGGAAAGAGCCTGATCATCAAAGCTGCTCAAAACAGGGCAGTGAAAGATCAGAATTGCTAGCTATTGCTAGCTTGCATTCCAAAGGCCTATCCAAGTTGTGTCTCAAATAATTTCATCCCCTCCAAGGCATCCCCAGCTTTCACTTTCTCAGGAACGAAATCTAGAAACAAAAACCCATATAACACAAGGGTCAATGAAGAGAGTTTGAAAAATACAAGATACCATTGCAGAAATAGAGATCAGAGAAGGGAAGAGTGAGCAGTACCAGAGAGAAAGTCAAATCTCTTCCGTTTACTTACAACTGATGCTGAAAAAGCAGGAAACAAGGGAAGCATCACCAAAATATCTTGGTTAAATAAACAAAGAGTAGAGATCCACTTAGACACAAGTCTTACACATCATACTTACACAAAATCTCAACCATTCATCTCTTCACTTTCAATGGTAGAGATTTATTCACTTTTTATCATATTTATTAAAGATAATTATCTTTATCATTTAAAAAATCATTATAAATCTCAACCATTGAAAGTGGAAAAATATATGGTCTAAATTTTGTGTAGATGTAGTGTGTGAGAGTTGTGTGGGAGCGGATTCCCACTCATAAACTAATATCAATTTGCAAAAGCATATGGTATAAAGTATCTTTCATGCTTATTTGAATAGGTGTTGCTTCCAAGAGTTAATATGAGGCAGAAGCATCATAGAAGTTTGGTGAATTCATGTCTGCCTTCTACTAAACTTTACAGATTCATACGGTTGGAAGATTTTTTTGCATCTCACAAAAATTTCTCCTCATGAAAAACAATTAACAAACAACTTGTCTGACAATTTCTTTGCTGTTAACTGTCTTGATCTAAAGATCATGAATGTGTTCAACAACTAGATACAAAAGTTAGAAAAATCAATCCTTTAGAACTTCTAATTTACATGGTTTGGAACTAAAGGTTCTCAAGCCTAAATTCTTTACTATTTTTCCAACTTCAGTCCTACATAACTCAGTCACTCTTTTACTGTTGTTTACTTCCTCCACTCCTCACAAAGCAAAATGGAAAGACAAGAAGAAGAAGAAAGGGAGATTACACAGGTGCTTGTAAGCAAGGGATTTCTTACGGTCCTTGACTGCAAACCAATATGAATCGTCACAGAATTGCTCAAGGAACTTCTCCTGCAATTAGTGTAGAATACTGAGCTGGCACTCAATAACATATTCAACAACAACAAAATATGCAAATGCAATGAAAACAAAGACATGCAGTTTCAGTTCAAGCAGAAAACGCCCTTGCACTTTCTATCCAGAAGAAGAAACTGCAGTTAACACAGAAAAAAAGAATCTTAACAATAAAGAAAACGCCCTTGCTCAACCACTTGAGAATGATGCATACCAGTAATCGGTTAACAAACCTCCCTCTCATTCCCTCTTTGCCACTGTTTTACCTCTAATCATTTCTACCTATTTTTAATGCAAGAAGCTATTAACAAGGAAAAAATCTCCAATATTTGTTTTACCTTGTTGTTCAAACCAATCCTAACATTGTTCCTTACAAAAATTCCAACAATCATGATAGGCATATACACAATCCAAACAAAATCCAAAGAAATGATGTTAGTTATGACCAATCTTAAAAGAGAAAACACACATATATATTCAACGCACATTGCATTCTTTAATAAGCAACAAAACCAAACCCAAATATCAAATTATTAAGAAGGGGCAGAAAGCAAATTACCGTGGCCTTACTAACAAGGAAAATAGCATCCTGGGTAATGCCCTTCTCACAATCTCCACTCTTTATCATCGTCTTGATCCTGTTCATTGGGAACCTATACATCTTAGCTTCCTCCTTTTGTTCCTCATCCTCATCTTCTCCTCCTTTTTGTTTCCTTTTCTTTGGATGTGGGTTCTCATCGCATTGATTCTTAACCTTGCCACCCCTTTCTTCTTCTCCGTCTGGTTCTGACTCCTCGGATTCGGTGCTTGAAGACGGGTCGGTCGGAACCTCGGACTTGTCGACCATGCCATTGCGACTTCTGTTGTTTTTCTTGTCAGTCTTTCGCTTCAGCTTCTTGGGGGTTCCCGTTGTCTTGTCCAACGTTTTCGTGGCTTTTGTTCCCTCGCCGGCGGTGCTGCTGCTGATCTTCTTCCCTTCCGTTGGTTTCTTAGATGAAGCCATGGGAAGTTGAACTTTCACATCGGCAGTTCTGCAGCAGAATCTTTCATGCATTGTTTTGGGCCTTTTGGACCTACGTTTGTTAGTTACGTTTGTCTTTCCGATGTAAAGAGGGAATGGGCTTGGATTCACCAAAGCAACTTTATTATTATTATCTGAATTGAATAAAATTATCTCTTGTTTTCCTTTTTCTATTTTTTTTCCTAACTAAATAAGTTTTAATATTATTTTTTATTAATTCTCTTTTTTATTTTTATTAATAAAAAATATTTTAAAATAATGAATAATATATTTTGATAATAATAATACTAACAATAATAGAATACATATTCTATGAAAAAAATGATAATGGAATTAAAAAAGCTAAATTGAGGCTGAAATTTCTTCAATCATAATAAGTGGTGTTTGTTTTATCATTCTATAAATAACTATTAAGTATTAATTTAATTAAATAAATTATGTACAACCATAAGTGGTGTTTAATAACAATTTGTTGATGCAAGTAGAATGAGTTTGATATTTCTTAAGTAAGATATCGAGTTTGAGTCTTATGAATGGAGAAACAAGTACGGGAAGAGTTTCCCTCCAATGAAGTTTAATTTGACTCAATGAAGTTTAATTTGACTCAATTTTGAATTAATTGTGATTCAATGTAGTTACTGAATACAAAAAAATTAATGAAAAAAAAAGTGGTGTTTGTTTAATCATTCTATAAATTTGGCCAACACATCATTTTTATGCACTTACATCGACCTCTGTATCAAATCAATAAACAGACAAACAGAAGATTGGACCACTTGCTGTGAGTGGTGGAACCGCCCAAAATCCTTTCCAATACCGCCCACTAAAAGTCCAAAAGCACAAATAATTGTGGAAGTAGTAAATGTATGTGTAGCATCGATCATCTTGACTTAAATCTCGTGTTCATATTACTAGAAGACGAGTTGTAGAAGAACTTCGTCCCTTTTATAGATTCTTTTATAAAAGCAAAAGCTTATGATTATTGTACGAAAGAATATTTAAATTTTATAAGATTATAAAAAAATTTGTCTAATATGTACTTTAAAAATATAAATTAAAAAAAATTATTATAAAATATAAATCTTTAAATATAAGGTAAAAATTTTTAATATTGGAGGTCTTCATTTAATTTAAAAGTTAAATTTTTTATAGTTTAATATCATTTAAATTATAAAATAATACATTTATTAAAATATTATATAACATTATTAATTTATAAGAGATTAGTGTGTATCAATTTTGATTAAAAAAATTAAAATTTCAATCTATATTTAATAATAAAATTTTTAATTTAAAATTTA